ATTTCACAATAGTTTAACAATGTACAAAACATGCAATAGTGTACTCCGTCCATCACATTAATCAATATAGGTGCCTACCTATATTAAAATTAGTTAGCCCGTGTATAAATTATTTATATACCTACTTATTTTTTAGTTTTTTATTACCAAAATTGTAGTATGTTTTATGAATTTTTCAAAAATTATATAAAAATGTAGCTAATTAAAATGAATGTATATATTTAAGAATATTTTGACAACTTTGACTGCATCATATTTCGATAATATTTAGTGCAACAAGTCAAGTCCCGAACCCTAAATTTATTTATATACGAAAACTGTAAAAACTTGGTTTTAATATATACTTAAACACCCCCCATTTCATAATCCTGGCTACGCCACTGAAGGTATGAGTATGTACTATAGTAGAATATGATTATTAAAAAATATAAATTACATTAATTAACAGTAAAAAGAGACTTAACTAGACTAAAGACAAATATATAAAGATTATTAAATGGTGTAAAACAATATAATAAAGAGGCAATAACACAAATTAATTACAATCTAAATTTAATTTTTTTTATATATTTTTTAAAAGTAGAAAGATTCTTAAAATTATTTATATTAATATTAAATGAAACACATAAATGTAAGCCAATATAAAATGATTGTTTTAATAATATTCGAACTCGGTACAAGCGCGTACGCATGAAACATCGCGGAACTGGGCGAGCGGAACGGGTGAGGGAATAAACCGTAACGAAATTTAACACGCGTAGCATAGGCGATTGAATGTTTTACGTGTTATTAGATAGCATAGGCGGACATCGGGGGGGGGGGGCTTAGGGGGGCTTAGCCCCCCTAAATATTTTAATAGTCCCCAAAAATCGAAACTTAATTTGAAATGTCATTCGTTGTTTTCATAATTATGTTATCGTTTTGTTATGCATTATTATTAGTTTAACACATCTATCACATAAAACTAGTTTTGAAAATGTGTGGAGAAATGGCCTTTTCGAAATGACCGATTCAATTTGCCATGCGGTCACGAGCATATTCGATAGACGACGTGTTATCACTTCTTATCGATATGTCGAGCGTCGGCTCGCGGGATCACGACCGTTGTCGTTGTGACGTTATTTTAATATAGAAGATGTTATAAGAGTTTTGTCAGAAAACAAAACCATATTCCCTAATTTGCAAAAACTATTTACCATAGCATTAACAAATACCTATCAGTTCGGCTACTTGCGAAAGAAGTTTCAGTGCAATGAGAAAAATAAAAACTTGACTAAGGACATCCCCATGCTTCAGGATAGGCTCAGCGATCTTTCTATTCTATATATTGAAAAAGATATCTCCAAAAATATAAATAGCAATGATATTTTGAATATATTTGCTGATAAAAATAGGTATTTGTTATTAAAATTAAAATAAAATATTAAGTGTTGTTTATTTTGATTACAACTTAAACATATTCATATTTGTATTAGTAATATATTACACTTGTGCATGGGAAGGGGTTGCGGGGTGCGGGGTCACTTTACATTGGATTATTATAGCCCCTCTAAAAATTCAACCAAATGTCCGCCTATGTTAGATAGATACTCATCCATTTTCGGCGTACGACACGCGTTTACGCAATATTTTATTTTTTGGTGGATCAAGGACGCTATATTGTCTATTAATTCACACAAAATGAATACCTTAATAGGTGGACTTTTGCATATAAAATAGGTGACACTCTATGTACAAAAATATGTAGGTACCTACATACGTTTATCATTCATCTACCTATATTCAGTATTCACTAATAATTAATATAGTATAATATGTATTGCATATTGGACATGGACAAATCTGAAATCGGGGACATTTTCGTGAATAAAGGTATACTGTTTTAAGTGAGCGTACCTATATACACAGGATTATACCTTCAGGATTATACCAGTCAGCGTTTGTACTATTTTAAAATGTTAGTTTAAATGTAATTATATAATACTATAGCTGATCCCGTTCACTTCGTTTCCCGTTAAATGTACCAACTCTATATGACTCAAACATTGTTCAATGCGTTATTTAATATTCGGTGTACTATGATGTTCTAGATTTATCTTAACTTTTCTGTTGCCCGGAATAAAAATTCTGAATTGCAGCAGTATATTATCAGATAGGTAATTTACCTGCGGTAGATCGCGGACCCCGTACTGTTTGTACGTAAGTGTATGATTTAACTCAAAAAGTACCAAAGTTATATTAAGTTTGACGTTTTTACTTAATTCCACCTACCTATAAATCCTAACCTAACCTAACCGTACTAAAATCCGATGAATAAAAAAAACCAAATTTAACTCTTTTTAAATTAGCGTATCTTCTTCCCATAGGTCATTCATTTATATATAAGATATATTTACAAAAAATAATAGGTAATACAAATCAACAAACATGCCCGATTAACCAATAGCAACCAATATTATAATACAATACACCATAGAGTAAATAAAGACAACGGTATCGAGTTCAAATCCCAGACATCAATAAATAGTTTTTACAGTTTTTCTAATTATTTGGTTGACTTTTTAAAAATTTTCTTTCGTAAAAACCTTCACCTGGCAATTACAAACATCTTAAAAAAAATTTGAGCAAAATCGGCCCAGCCGCGTTCTCAACTGATGCAATTTCGAATTTTTTGTCTCCATTTTTATATATATAGATTATTATAGAAAAGAGACTACAGTCATGTAGGTAGTAAAATTACCCCAGCTACGGAAAAATTTACTAGACAAGTAAAAATTAATTGTTACGCTAGGCAATTTTTACCCCAACGGTAAAATTTGTAGGTGGGTAAAAATCAACGTCAGAATAAGAAAGTAATCAGTAATCACTAATCAATATAATATTATTTCTAATCATCTAAAACCGAAAAAATTCAAAAGAAAAACAAATATTTTTCATTATTTCATTGAAATATTTCAACAAGAGTGAAATTTCAAATTCAGAACCCCATAGAAAATGAAAATATAAACACATTCAGTGAAATTTTCATGTATCTATCGTTATTGTTATCGTTATATATCTTATTCGTTATTGAATTACAACCAAATAAGAAAATCGCTGCATGAGAAATCGAGTGAATATTATGCAATGTTGAAAAATATGAACATCAAACGCTCATAAAAATTTAATTTGACTTTCGTGTAAACATTTTTTTTTTTTTGATAAAGTTAGACTAACTTATGAGGAATCTTATTGTACAATCTTGTATTACATTTTGCAGAAACCATGCAATTTTAAAGTGGCCTGAGATTATATTATAGTCAATATTTATTGCGGCATACATCCAGATGATATAAATATAAAATATTATAATAAAATAAAATAAATAAGATAATATTTTTAAAATACTTATCGAACTTAATGGTAACTATACTAATCTCGTTGACATAATGTAATATAAAGCAAAATCTCTTTTTTCAGACTTCGATATAGTAGCTTATATACATATGAAAAACGCGTAGGTACATACGTGCACTTGTGTCTTCTGTTCGTAAGTCCAATAACTATATTATAATATGAGCTTATTAACATTTAACATTTTTCGTTTTAAAAATGATATATATATATTGTATAATTCTGTAATAACTAGTTATAATTCATCAAAATACGACGCACGATATTAGTTTATCGGAGATTGGGACAATTATTTTAGGTGTTCTAAATCGATTTTTAATCGAAAATGTATATTAATAAATACATATTTAATTATATCGTTTCTTATAATATTTTATTAATAAACATTTTATAGTTTAAACTGGACCAGGCCGAACTACTCGAACTTGTACGCGGTGACATTATTTAGGACTATAGGCTATAATATATAACAAATGTCCGTGGCGTGTTGACCGTGATTTTGAAGACCAGTTGCCCGATCATTTTAAAGTGGTATGTGGGTGGGTGAGTACTGGATTTGGTGTGAAAATAAAGTACAAGACTAACTTCATCTGAATATTATAGATATTTATTAAGAATAATGACTTAAATAATAAGTACCTATTATATTAAGTAATCCAGAGGCTAAAATATAATTTTTTTCGTACTACACATTTTATATTAAACTTTTAGTTACCGCGAGGGGCTTTGCCACCCCACCAAAAAAAGTGTATTGAATCTATACACATAAACAATAAACATAGAGTAATCAATTTCTATTTTTCTTTATCTACAGAGTATAGACTACATCGCAAGTTAAGAGTGTGCAATAGTAAAAGCGTTACGTATACAACGCTCCAGAGATGGCGTTGTGCGCCGTATCGCCGCCGTCGCGGCTGGACATAACCACGCCCATTGTTTCCGTGGCAAAACCTACGCGGAATACTCGCAAGTCGCAGGAGAGGCGCATTATTATTTCACGAACAGTCTGGTTGAGCGGGTCCATACAATATTGACAATGACCATTGCGTAAATCGTCACCCGTGTATTTCCTGCACGTACCAGTACGCCGCGCTCTCAATCCTCGCTAGACTTACTTTTTAATGAAAGCTCTTGTTTACTTAAATATGTGTCTCAATACATAAATTACAACAAATTTAGCCAGATGGCTTGATTTACATTTGTAACCTTATTAGTAATTACTTTTTTAAAATACACACTAAATATAAATTCGTTATGAATAAATACATCTTTTAGTAACCATGTTGGGTCTTTTACGTTTTAACTTTAGGTAATCTGAAACACTTTTCATACGATAGTTGATTATTCTCCTATTTACGTATCTATTAGTAATGATTTAAATAGGTAGTTGATATTAATAAATATAAACAGCATAATATACCAAAACCGCTTAACCTAATTCTAAATTAATAAATCTTTGGAAAATTTCATTGAGCGCCTATTGAAAACTATGATTTAAGTAACAGTGGATTGTTTCAAGTTTCAATGAATAATACTTTTTGAATAACCTAATTTTTTATTTTATAATTTATAATAATAATAATTTGGCATTGGATGTATCTAGATACTTATTTCTTTTTCGCAGTTATTATATGTGGTGGATCTTTAATATCCGATAGAAACATTCGTCTACTGTACTGTGGATTAATTATCTCTGGCAATAAACATTCTTGATAAAAACTGAAATAAAATCATAGTATAGTTACATGTTGATTATCCTTTTCATCTTAATATTTTATCTTCATTATATAATCTACTATTTATATTTTACACTATTAGGTTACAATTTGTATAGCATAGAATTTAATTTTTAATATAATTTACAGATACTTACAGATCTAATTTTTTTTCCATTTGTAACCAAAAATCATGATCATACATCACGATTTCATGATAAGTCCATTTGTCAGAAAAAACGAAAAAGTGACATGACTTTTTTTTACAAATGTGCATCTGACCCTGAATCTGATAATAATAATTATTATCAGATTTTAATTTTATGTTTTCAGTGTGTTTGTCGTATTTTAAAAACGGCAACTAAAATTTAAAATTGTAAAAAAAAAATCTAAAATACAATACTATTTAATTTCATATTATCATTTTTATAGGTACCTTTTTATCCTTCACAGCATCAATACAACTACAATAATCTTTGGCAGAATAGGGACATTTTATCTCAATTAATGAGTCATCTTCAATTATTAATCCATCTGAAAATATTATAAAACGTATTTAATAAGTATCTACGATTTAATTATTTAAATAAAATACAATTTATTTATTAAAAATTATATTACCAGGCGTGGCGGCAAAATAAGACGTATTTTCATCAATAAAAAGACCACAAGACATTATTTTTTTACCACTAATTTCTTCAAATTTTTTAATTGCTTGAGGTTCCATAGATTTTCCATACTCCGTGGCTTTAGTAGAAAATTGATGGTATAGTAAATTATAAACAAGTTTTTTACATGATGTCTGTGGTCTTCGTTTGCATATGTTACCAAAATTTGATGCTGTGAGACGGTTTCTTCTTTCAGCGTGCCACCGAGAAGAATTGTGTTGTTCTCTTGTTTCTTCCTCTAATATTATTCTACCATTTTCATCAAGAACAAGGGAACTTAAAAATGTCAGTTTTTTTGATTCTATATCATTTTCTGTAAATTCGTCGACGAGAGGTTCAGCTAAACCATAATGCTCGTCTGGACCAAAAGTTAATTTTTTTCCTATTCCTTTTTTTATAGGAAAAAGTGTTCTTCTATTTTTAGAAAGAGCTTTTTTTTTTAATTTGGCTTTCAAAAGTTTTTCCCAACACATCCTATATGAATTAATAGGTATATTATTATTGATTACTCGCTTATTCGTCTTGTACCTACATTACTTATCGGTAAATTATTATTTATTACATTTAAAATTATTTTCGAATATTAATTTATACATTAATTTACTAATAAGGAACAGTCAACATTTGTCGATGGATAGTAATTTACGATAAGTAGAGCGCGTATTTGTATGCATTTGTATATTTATTCTGGTTGATCGTATGATATGCTAAGTGAGCACAAAATGTTTTTTATGACAGGTAAGGATTTAAAAAAATTAAACTTTTTTAATGCATATATTTATGCATATTTAAGATTTTTTAGCGCATATTCGGTTGGTTTTTAATGCATATAAATCCGTGCTCTAACGATAAGAGTACGAAAAACGAGCGTTGATTAATATTTATTATTTATAAGCTATTTTGACATCTGTCAATTACTTTCTGATAAATTTAACAAGACAATAACTTACCTGGACTTATATCATTCACAGCATTTTTATGTAAACATCTCAACAGTTGTCCAGCAGTATTATGTGATATAACAGCAGCTTCCACTCGTGTATTGTATGAATGACGCTGAGAAAAGTTGATACGTTTTCCAGCTAAATGTTTGTTTATAATGCTGTTGAACTGCTCGCATACATTATTGTCTACGTTCATCAAAAGACTATTAGCATTAGTTGTTAATCGTCCGATGATTTGTACAATTTCTTGAACCATGCCAGATTGTTGTGCTTCATTCAATAAATTTTTTTCATTTTCTTTCGCACCTTTACAAAAATATAATTCGCATTGACTATGTTCACCCAAAATGTGTTGAAAACTGTTGTTGATATCTTTACGTAATCCTATATAAAATTAAATAATTTAAAAAATTAAATAAATACAAATAATTTAAAATTACTTTAATTTTACCTATAATACCTACCATTTATCTTTTGACTTGTGGATTGATTTTGCAATTTATTTCTGTAATCAATTGATTTTACAATCGCAAATCTAAAACGCTTCAAATTTTTTTTTATGTGTTTTCTCAAGATTATAGGATATTTGATATTTTTTATAACAGCCATTAATTTTGTTCCGTAATTTCGTAATAAATGATTACGACATTCTATTTTTTCAATTATGAACTTGGGTCCATATGGCATACTTTCCTTTAAACGTTTTGTTACACTAGAATCTCCATCGCCTAAAAATAAAATAAAAATTATACAGTTTAAATATATATTTTGAATGTCTTGGTTCACTTTAAGTTTTATTAACCTATAATTTTATCATATTTTAATCCGTGCATTTCCACACTCCGTTTAAATCCTTCCATTACAGCATCAGCTTCCATGCCTGTCGCAGATTTAGACCAGTTCATAAAACAAACGTGTGTCGGTATTGGCTCTTTTTTATTTAACGATTTTTGACAAATAACGCAGTATCGATTTCTTATACCGATAAACAAAATTTTTTTTGTTCTATATCCTATTATCGTAGCCTGAAATTAAAATGTAAAATGTTAAGTAGATAATAGCTTAAATCGTTAGATTACGTGATTTCGTAAAAAAATAATGTCAGATGCTCATCGATGTAATATATAATGACGCTCAAGAATATAAATCCATTATTATAATGCATAAAATGCAAAATAAAATTGATGTAGGTATAATACTAAGTCTATGAAGCATGAAACAAATGTATTTACTGATAAACTACTCGTTCAATTTTTTTATGCCAAAAACTCGTAAACAATAATTTTTTTTTAGACAATTTATTTAAATTTTTTTATATTATTATTTATATTTATAATAATATTAAATTTAAAAACAGAATTTTAATATTACAAAGTTCGTTAATCACATTTATGATTAAACAGAACTTTATGTTACACCCCCCGTGTATAGCTCTATATTTCTATAATATTATACTTACTGCACCAGATAAAGCGTCATATTTTGTTTTATAGCTTCTTTTTCCCCATTGCCCATCTGCTACAACTGTGCACATAGGAATACCATCACTGTCAATATCTCCATTTTCTATAGCTAATTTTCGTTCTTCTTCGCCAGCAATCTTCATAACGTTCTCAGCTATTTCGTGAATCTTTTTTCCAATAATATCATGATTTCTTATAAACGTGTTACTAGTCATGCTTGGAATGTCCATTGTAGCACAAATTTCTTCTAGCTGGGAATGGCCGATGCCTATAGAAATTGAACCACTCACAGCAGCTTCATTGATTGGCATGTATGATTTTGGTCTTTCTTCTTCAGACTCAATAATACGCACTATCTTACACATTTTACACGAAAACGTAAAATTTGATCGTAACCCAAATCGTCTTTCGTATAAGAGTTCCATGTCCATGAAAGTACAACCACAACCACCTTCATGTACGCATTTCTTAATTTGATCAAATATATAAAAAATATCGACTATCCTTCGGCCGTAATTATTTGACTCACTGCATAACTCAGGTAATATGTTAGGTGATTCATCAACATTTCTATATACATTAATATTTAAGAATTAAATTATTTATTAGCATATTTTACTGAAAAAATATTATTTATTTTAAATTTAAAGCAGTTAAATTACCCTTCATTATGAGTCAAAACTTCTACCGGTGAAAACAAATTGGCTTGATTATTTATTGAAGAAATATCACAACTAAGACTTTAAAAATATGCATTATATTCATAGTGTACCTACTAAATTTTTGATAACTAAAAAATATTTAATAAAATCTTACTTTTCAGAAAATGATGATGTTGCAGGAGTCGAATAATTTGCTCCTAACGTAAGGCAGGTGGATTGATCAATCATATTATCAGATGTATTAACAGAACTAATCTGAGTATTACTAATATTGTAGTCACCATCCCTTATTAAAAAAGCAAGATATAACAAAACATATTAAAAAAAAATATTTTTTACTATTTCTGTTTTATTAATTATACCTAGTCTATTACGACTCGTCAAAACTTTAAATACTTATAAGTAGATATAGGATGTTGATGACCACACAAAAATGCCCTAATACTCAAAAAAATCTGCTTAAATTGTATAGTAGAGTCGAGTGAATCTCGTCTTAGAGTAGGTCACTGTGATGAATGTGTTAAATTTAAATTCTATGATAAATCATTGACTGATTCTGAAACGATTCTGAACACAGACATTTGTCAGCCTAAAATATTTTATTTTACGTCTTTTAGTGTTGGTAACTATGTTTTTTGACGGGTTTTATAAAAATCCTAAGTTCAAATGTACCTATATAAAAAAAAGCGGGTAATTGGGTATCGCTCTGCTGTACATTAGGTGCCGTATGGATCACTATTATATATTATAAAAGTGTTAAATTTCGTAAAAATCTAAAATTGAAACGCTCATTACATTTTTCCTATAATGACGCTTCGAGTTTTCTCTATAGCTACTTGAAGGAAAACTTATGGAAAACTTAGTGTTGAATTTTTTATCCTTAGATATAAACACAAAAAATGTTATGATTTTTCAACTTCAAAATTACTTGCAAATTTTGGCGATTTTGACATATTTCGTAAAAATGTTAACTATTAACGCTTATAAAAAAAAATTGTGTCTAACGATTTTCGATTTTTTTTAACTACAATAAGAACCACTCATAAGGAACCTTGTATTAAATTTTCAAGTTTTTTTGGCCTTCCAAAATTTTGTTATCGACATTTCAAAAAAAAAATTCTCAGAAAAATCGAAAATTTCAGTGGTCTATAAGTAGCTCAAAAAAATTCGAAATATTTCAAAAAGTTAACAGTATGTAGATAACACTAATATAAACATTTGGTGAAAATTTCAAGTATTTACAGTGATTATTTTTTGAGTTACAACCATATAAGAAAATCGATTTGGTCGAAAAGTGGTTTTGCGTAAAAATTCCCGTTTTTCCTTTACTTTTTTTTGTTTTTCTCTATTTTTTTGAAAACTGTTGGAAAATTTTTAATTTTTACCTCTATAATGCACCAAGGATATTCACTTTGTCATCGGAAACCACCCCCGAAGTTTGAAATTGAAGCATTATTTCGACTAGTTATGCTGTACACAGACACAAAAAAACACACAAAAAAAAACACAAATCATTGTAAAAAAAAGGTGGGCAAGTGGGTGTCGCTCTGCTGTACAGTAGGTTACAAGTGGGTCACTGTATAATGGATGGTATTAAATTTGAATTCAACGATATAATATCATTGTATAAGAAAAACGATTCTGAGCGGTGATGGTATGTCAGTCTATGTATAAGGCATATTATATACATATCTATGGTATTAAACAAAAAATTGACCTATAATAGGTACCTATAATAAATTCCAAATTAATCATATCACAATATCCATTAGATACTTATAACGCGTTATACATCAACAAAAACCGTGATACTATCATAGATATATAATAGTACACTTTAGAAGTTTCAAGTACCCACGAATAATATTATTCAATCACAACAAAATAACTAAAATCGTAATTCTTGGTTTAAATATGAAATTTTGTCTAAATTTGAAATTAAAATGTCTGTAAAAAATAAGTGTGTTTATATATTTTTTAGATTTTTTGGTTACACTATGAATTATTTAAGAGAACCTTTGTTTTAAATTTTCAACTCTTAGTTATAAAAACTGAACATTTTATAATTTTTTAATTCCAACGATTGATAATTTTCGAGATTTTGATAAATTTTGTCAAAATTCCAACTTTAAATGCTTATAAAAAAAAACTGTGCCTATGTATTTTTAATATTTTTCAACTGCTATTGTAACAATATATCAGGAGCCTTGTATTAAATTTTTACACTTTTTGGCCCAACAGATAAAACTGTATTGATATTTATAGAAAAAAAAACTAAAAAAAATTGAAAGCTGTAAATGTCCATAAACATCTCAAAAAGAGTCAAAATATTTTCAAAATTGTATGGTGTATAGAAAATGCTAATTTAAACATTCAGTGAAATTTTCATGTATCTACAGTTGTTCGTTTTTGAATTGTAACAAAATAAGGAAATCGCTACATGAGTAATCGAGTGAAAATCCAATGTTGTAAAAATTTGAATTTCAAACGCTCATAAAAATTTAATTTGACTGTCCGGTAGAGATTTTTTTATTGATAAAGGTAGATAATTTTATAAGGAATCTTGTGTTTCATTTGTTTTAGAGTTACACCAATAACCAAAATCGATTTTTTGGAAAACCAATTTTGTGTAAAAATTCCCGTTTTTCCTTAATTTTTATGTTGTTTTTTCCCGGCGCTTGTGAAAACTACTGGGAAATTTATACTTTTGACCCCCCAAAGTACCAACTAGATTCACTTTCCTACCAGAAAAGCTACTGATGAAGAAAATCCAAGCACTTTTACTGTCCTAAAACGTGATGACAGACACAAAAATATAAAAATATAAATAAAAATATAAATAAAAACATACATCATTGTAAAACCAATACATTCATCGCTCCGCTCAGAATCTAAAATACGTCAAAATGTTGACAAAAAAACAAAAAATGCAAATAATATGGTAGCTAAAAATGCCTAAAACTGCGAAAAAGTGCAATAGTTATCAATATCCTATTACTTATAAGTATGTATATTATGTTGTTATTTAAAAAATTAAAAACTTAAAAATAATAAGTTTAGGAATGAAAAAATAGTTTTTTTTATACATACTTATACAATTCAATAATTATTGTTAGAGTACAGACTAAAACTATAAACAGTTAAATTGTACTTACCTTTCATTTTTACTACAGTAATGACGAATGTGTGAAATATTTTTCATTTTTTTATTTGTACATCGTTTTTTTTGTATTTTATTTTTCTTATTTCCCATAGTGTTTTATAAAAATATATAAATAAAATATATAATATATAAAATAAAAACTAAAAAAATAAGTTGATATATAACTAAAAAGCTTGTAAAAACGGAATACGCACAATGCACAAACTAATATTTTGAGTTTGCAATGAGTATAAAAACAATAATTTTACCCTCCCAAATATCGTATTCATAAACTCATATCTAACAGCGATAATAGTAATAACACTAATAACCATTTATATTATAATATAATATGATTATTATCGTATTTATGATTTTCGTCAATTATCGAAAATAATACGGAGAAATTTGTCTCGTTGCATGTTTGCTATTTTAAGTTTTATTTTAATTGCAGCGCGACTAGGTTGCGTTGTAGAGTGGGGGGACTGCCGCCACCCAAACGAACGTTGGAATTCATAGTACCGCTAGGAGCAGCACTAGACGGGAAAAATTTCACACGTAAAACATGCTTACTTAGATTGAAAATAAATCGATCCAGAATGGTTTTAGGGAAAAAATTCAAATAATCAAAATTAAAGAAAATAATATTTTAGAGGGCATCTCGGAAGAATTTTCTTCATTATTTAAATTATAACGCTCAAACAACAGTTTAAAGTAGTACATTATTTCAACAATTTCAATTAACTCTAACTTTAAGAAAAAAAAACTTTTTTGAAAAATTGCTCCGAGGTGCCCTCGGTAATGTTATTTTCTTTAACTTTGTTCCTGGGTGTTTAGCTGTAAAATAATCATGTAGTAAGTTATTTCTTATCAAAATGGTCATGTTTTGGATACGAAAAAAGGGTGGTATTGCGTCCTCTTAACGATTTATGTCCGAATATTGGTACGATAATTAATTCGGTATTATACATAATATTGCAATAAATGCACAGAACTATAATAATACTATACAATACCTATTATAGACAGTGAATTGCGAAATAAAAATCCCCGATTTTAGGAAAAAAACATCCCAGATTTCAATATTAGGTACTCACATAATCACATGAAATTGATTGATTAAATGTTTTTTTAAAAGCTAATTAATGTAATTACCACATATTTTTTAATATTTAATTATAAATAAACACAAGGTTTAGGAATAGCTATCATTAAAAAAATGAATGTATAATAAATAGGTAGTGTTCAAACATTAACAATAACATTATTTTGTTTTTGATTTGAAACAACATAAGTAAATATTATGTTAATGGTTCTTGTAAAAAAATATAGGTAAATACATTCAGTAACTATTGTTTGATAATTATTTGTAATTTGTATCGATTATTCGAAATATTTTTATTTTGTAATATTTTAAATATTGTATCTATAAGTAAAACTTGTAAAATCGACTCCTAATAATACGTAATAATTATTATTAATATTTAAAATTCTTATCTATCTATTTCCCTACGAAACATCAAATAATTTTTCAATTAATGAATAAAAATGTGTAAAAAAAAGCTAGTATAGTAGTTATTACAGGCCATTACACACTTTTTAATTTCGTATTCCACACTTA